AATTGGTTCACTATGTTGGACGTTGGTGTCGTCCATACCTTGGTCTGTCCCGGGATCCCTACCTGGACTGAGCAGATGTGTATGTGTTGTGTCTCCCAGGAAAAGTTTGTCACACGGTAATAGCACTGATAGATCTGTTTTTTGAGATGACACTTTTGTAACCCAGATGGCCCCCAGTTTACAATGTAGCCTATACCAGCAATCCCAGTTCTTGGGAAGTAGAAGCTGGAGGCTCAGGAGACCAAGGTCATCTCAGCTTCATGAGACTGTCTCAAAAATAAAAAATAATTTTAAAAGGGCATTTACTGTTCCAACCTCAAGTTGCTTTTTTTCTTGCCTTTTCATTTTGACTGGAGTCTATATGAGAACATTCTTCTTCCATCCCAAGTATAGCTTGCTCCACAAGGGCTAATATTCCATAAGTCTTCCCCACCACTTAAAACTTTTATGAAAGGAATTCAAATCTTTTAATCTCCTCAGCCTTGCAAAATTTTATGCAAATTTTAATCTCCCCCCACCACTTCTCAAAACCTTTGTTTACACAGAGGGTAATAGTCTAAGGCAGCCCACCCCTTCCCCTTTTTCTTTGCTGTCCTTTATTTACATTAAAAAAAAACAAACAAAAAAAAAAAACTAGCCAATCTTGAAAGAGTGTGAGGTCAGACCCCAGCCATCGGGGAAACAGCATCACAACCTGCATTAAAATAAGTGAAGCTGAGATTGCTGCAGTAAGCCTGTAATCACAGTCCTCAGAAGGCAGACGGCTTTCTGTGACTTTAGGGCACCTTCATAGACCAGCCAGAGCTACATAGTAAGACATTGTTTCAAAACAAACAAAAGGCAAACAGAACAAAACCAAGTGAACCTCCTGCCTCAGACTTTCCTTTTGTTTGTGTGATGCCAAGAATATATGCATCACCTAGAAGTTAAGTTTGAGTCCTTTGCAGAACTTTTAGGTCTGCTTATGAGATTTCACATCCTCCTCCCTCTCATGAACTCTTCTGATTGTTTTAAAGCCTCACTAGCATTCTGTAGCTCACAATTTAAAGATTGTCAATGAAAAAAATTAAATTATATTTAATATGTGTGCATAGGTTAGAGGTCAGAGAAGAAACCTGTAGAAGCCAGGTCTGTGTCATGAGGTCATGTCCCCCCACCATTAAACTACGATTCTCAGGCTTGGCCACAGTCACCCTCTCTGCCCTTTTGCATCTCATCGATCCTCAGAATGTGGATTTAACAAGTTAACCATCAGCCGGGCGTTGATGGCGCACACGTTTAATCCCAGCATTCGGGAGGCAGAGGCAGGTGGATCTCTGTGAGTTCCAGACCAGCCTGGTCTACAAGAGCCAGTTCCAGGACAGCCTCCAAAAAAGCCACAGAGAAACCCTGTCTCGAAAAACAAAACAAAACAAAAAACAAACAAAAAAACAAAACAAAAAACAAGTTAACCATCGTTGAAAGTAAACAGAATACACACAAACATTTCCAATTTTCATTTAAATTTCCTCAGATTTGTGGAAGTATTTTCTTTTCCTGCCAGCAGAAGCAACAGAGCACAGCTTTTTACAATGTATGCAAGACCTCGTTACAAAAGTTTCCTTTGTTCAAATGCTCTAACGAGGTGGAAGACACAGGGCCAGGAGACTAACAATGAGAAGGGCTTGTTCCTAATAGAGAAGGAGTAGGATTTGTGGTAGAAATTCAGACAGAAATTATGAGGAGAACTGTATTTGAGACAGAAAAAGAATGTACAAGCATGTTGTTGAATAACATTTACAGAAGACCTTTATTTTAGAAAAGGCCCTTGCAGTAGGCTCTAACAAACATAGCAAACCGGAGGCACCCCCTGCTAAAGGCGACCAAACCCCAACTGTCTGTCTCCACTTCTACAAGGAAAGTGACTTTGAAATGGCATTTTCTCCATTTTTTTCTTTGAAAGTGAAGGAATCAGCTTCCCTTTCGGCAGCCATAATGGTCCAACATGTGCTTCTATGACCTTGTCCTAGAAACTAGAAAGTCAGATGCCTGTCTCGTGACAAGGAACCAATCAGAAGTTAGCTGGTGGCGCTATGCTTTACGACCCTGGGTGTGCTTTACGGACAAGCGCACAGCAATGACGTAGAGAGCATAGCAACCACTCTGGGAGGGCCTATGGGCCATAACAACCAGTTGACCAATCAACACAGGGCAAACCCTCCAAGCCTGGAGGCACACCAATCGTGAGCCTGTGTGTACCCCTAGACACTCCCCTTACGCTGCCCTATAAAGATCTATGCGCAGCGGCTTCAAACCGTCTTTTCTAGCTGTCCGCCATGGCAGGTGGATGAAAGACCCGAGCTAACATGGGGTTAGCTCGTTAAATTACAATAAAAGCCTCATGCAGTTTGCAGCAAGCTCTTGAATCCGCCTGGTGATTGGGGTGACCTCGAATGTGGCCTGGGACCCCGAATACTTGAGTTTTCGGGGGTCTAACAAAAGCACTTTGGATCTCCTGCTCCTACCTTTGGGATTACAGACATGCACAACCATATCCAACTTGTAGGAATGGATTTTTTTAAGGTTCATACATTCATTTACATTCATTCAATTATCAATTATATTTGTTTTAGGTGCTAAGGATATGAAAATCAAGATAGTGTTTCTAGGGCAGAGGAAGGAGGATAGTTACAAATTTGAGGTCAGCCCTGTTTACATAGCTAAATTCCAGGGCACCCAGGCTACATAGTAACACCCTGTATCAAACACACACACACACACACACACACACACACACACACACACACACACACAAAACTATGAGTGTTGGTTCAGCCTGTAACTATACAATTTGGCAGTCTGAGGTTGTTTCAACATAAACAAAATGCCCAGCTGTAGCAAACACCTGTTAATCTCAGCAGTTGGAAGTCAGCTCCAGGAGAATCTAGTTCCCGGGCCAAATTTTCACCAAATGCTAAAGTCTATATTCTTCAGAAACATCAACTAGTCACATAACACTTTCTCTCTCTGGGTTTGCTGGGACTGAATGCAAACCCCCTTCCGTTTGTTAGAAGAGCAGTAATGCCCTCGGCGAAGAGTGACTGATTACTGTGGACACCACTCTACAGGCACAGTATACTTCTCCTCATGTGTTGTCTCCTTTACTAGGCTGTGATTATTTTACCTATTATTTTGATATAGTATCTTGTTATGTGGCCCCAGTTTGCCTCCAGTTCCAAATCTTTCCATCTCTGCCTCCAAGTGCTGGGATTACAGGTGTGTACCACTTCATCTTTCCACACTTCCAGCAATTTGAGGGCCAGAAAAATGAGGAATTCCTCTATGACTGCAGCAAGTGGAAGAAGGTGGAGTAGTCTTTTGGGGGAAATTTTACACACACACACACACACACACACACACACACACACACACACACACTTTATTCAAGACAGGGTTTCTCTGTGTAGCCCTGGCTATCCTGGAACTCAGGCCAGACCAACCTTTAACTCAGAAATCTGCCTGCGTCTGCCTCCCGAGTCCTGGGATTAAAAGGTGTGTGCCACCACCTCCCGGGCTTTTAGAAAATGAAAATACCTGTAATGACTTACCAGCATGGAATATCTTTTAGCCTGTTTCTTGGAAGTAGTTCAGGCTTTGATTTATAGGCATTCCTTGCCTTGCCTGAAATAACTCCTTGGAATTAAAACTTGGAAATCTTTTAATAAAATTGGTTCCATCTAGAAGTCAAGTTTGTAACTTGCAAGACAAGCTTTTTTTTTTTTTTTTTTTTTTTTTTTTTTTTTTTTTTTTGAGACAGGTTTTCTCTGTGTAGCGTTGGAGCCTATCCTGGCACTCGATCTGGAGACCAGGCTGGCTTCGAACTCAGAGATCCGCTTCGAACTCAGAGATCCGCCTGCCTCTGCCTCCCGAGTGCTGGGATTTAAGGCGTGCGCCACTAACGCCTGGCTGGCAAGACAAACTCTTGAGAGGCGGCACTAAGAAGATCAGGAGTACAGGGCCAGCCTTAACTACACTGCAAGGTTGAGGCCACTCTGGGCTAGACTATACCATAGTACAAAAAAAAAAAGAAAAGAAAAAGAAAAAGAAAAGAAAACCAACGGGGAAAAAAGGAAGAAAGAAAAACCGAAACACCACCCTCAGAATTTCACATTCTGCATTCACCCATAAATTATGTGCTCTGCGCAATTCTGGTAGGTGTTAGAAATCATTTAAGAAATTTTACACTCAAATTCACTTATGGTAAATATGTGATAAGTGGCTGCCTGTTTTGACTTTGTAGGCGACTGGCTTTTCTTTTGCCGACTACAGATGCGTGAGCGAGCACATGCCCAGGTTCTGCCCTATCTTCATTTTCTAATCTTGCCACCGCTAGTCAATTGGCACGTGGCTTTCCAGCCATCACCCATCCGAGACAACTCTGAAATTAGTTGCTAATTAATGACGCGAGTCGGAGGATCCCTGTTGCTAGGCGGTTCTTTAGCTCCGTTCATCAAGCCTCAGTTTATTCATGGCCAATAAAACCTGCGACTCCTGGGTCACCAGCCCTGCTTAGGATCGTGCTGTTTGCACAGCTGCGAGCGGCG